ATATATACATATTTTACTTTACTTTTTAAATCTTTCACTTACAGTTCGATGACACAACTGGAGGTCTTTCAGGAAATAGATGAAAACTGATCATAAAACAAGAACTGATGCATAGATTTTATACAATAATCGTAGAGATGTTTAAACACGGCATCTAACGAAGGTAAAACACCTGGATGGAGCTTCAGGTCGGGAGCATTTTGTTCTGTCATAAAATCTTATTGTTTGAGTTGTAAATTAAATAAGGCAGCTGCCTGCAGACCCACGTGTCTTCTTGTGAATCTTTCACCACAGAAAAATCCAATAAAAGGTCACGTGTGCAAAACGACACGTGACACACCTATGAATTTAACGTGGGCGTTTTGTTATGTAGAAAAGTCTTTAGTCGTAGCGTCTCTTCCACAGATATCCGGCTGTGGTAGAAGCTCAGCCCCGTCAGGAGCTCGATGTCTCGGACTCGAGCCGTGTGAAAACTCATCCACTCGTCCACAAACGTCAAGTCCGACGTGTCCTGAAGACAAACAGGAAGCAGGGGGAGGAGTGAGCCGAGTCACGTGGACACTTTGAACCCACAGTCTGACATCTTTTTACTCACAGTGCAAAACTCAGAGAAGTCCGGTCTGTGGGGCAGGATGTAGGAGACCGCCTGCAGCGGACCCTCGCATTTCAGCGGGCTAAAGGTCTGGTTGCGGCAGCTGGTCAAGATTAAAAAGAAATGTGTCGGGATGGGAGCTTCGTTCCTGAGGAGGACAGAGTTTACAGATGAACAAGTCTGTGAGAAAACAATAATCCCTCATTGAGATTTACATATATTTAACATTTAAATTGATCATTTAGTAAAAATTTGGTAAAATGTAAGAAAAGTGAGCTGAATAATATTAAACCTTTTAATACGAGTGACATTTTTAACATTTTATTTTACACCTGGTGCCTCATGAAAACCAGAGTTGTAAAGTAACTAAGTACAAATACTTTGATACTGTACTTAATTAGAATGTTTGGGTATCTGTACTTTACTTGAGTAATTATTTTTCAGCCTACTTTTTACTTCTACTCCTTACATTTTTAAAAAAGACAAGAGGTAGAAAGTCGCTACTTTTATTTAATTTTTGCTTGTTTTAATTCCAGCTTGTTATGGTAAAAAATAAATAATCATTAAAATAAAAGGACTGTACTTAAGAAGTATTTGTATTTCATGAATTATATTATTACATTTGGCCGCAGCCCTCAGACAGATTTTCATTTTGGGGAAAAGCTTTGTGCAGCCTTGATAAATGTACAGCGGGTAAAATAAGTATTGAACACGTCACCATTTTTCTCAGTAAATATATTACTAGAGGTGCTAATGAC